CAATTACCGCTCATTAACAACCCCAGGTCCCTCCTCAGAGTCTCTCAACCCCTCACATCCCGAACTTTCTGCTCAGAAATCTCTAAAATCCATCACTTCTCCATTAGAAACCCTCAGGACCCTCTACACAGACCCCTATATCCCTCAGCACCCAAAACCCCTCACTTCCACCACAGGAACAGCCCCAAACCCTCCTTACAGACCCCTACACCCCCCCATATTCCTCAATTACCGCTCATTAACAACCCAGAACCCCTCAGAGTCCCTCAGCCCCTTCAGCCCCCCCACATCCCAAACTTTCTCCTCACAAACACCCCCCCCACAACCCCTCAGCCCCCAACCCCATACTTTCCACTCAGAAACCACCTCAAGTCCCTCAGAGTCCCTCAACCCCTCACAGATCCCTCAGCCCCCCCACATCCCAAACTTTCCCCTCACAAACCCCCTCACACCCCTCCCCACCGACCCCCAACAACCCCTCAGCCCCCAAACCCCACGCTTTCCCCTCACAACTCACCCCACAGAGGCCTACAGCCCCTCACAGACCCCTCAGATCCCAACGTTTCTCCTCACAGACCCCCCATCCCCCCTTATCCCCTCACAGGGCGGTGCCGGGCTGCCGCCGCGGGGTGAGGAACAGCATTCGGGCGGGGCGGGCGGCGCTGGCGTCTGGGTGGGCGCTCCAAGGCTTGGCGTAGCTGTGGTCCAGACACACCAGGTCGAGCTCTCGCTCGTGTGCCGACAGCTGCAACAGCAGCGAGGTCCCCATCCTCCTCGCCGACCACTGCAGCTCCCGCTCGCGCTCCCCGCCGCGCTGCGCCATGGCACCGCCGCCCCCCGCCCGCCCCGCGGCGCGCACCGCGCATGCGCGGCCGGAGGGAGGAGCGGCGGGAGTAGGAGGCGCATGCGCGGGAAAGCGATGGGCGGAGGGAAGACGCGGAGAGCGGATTCGGGTGGAGCGGAGCGGGGTGGGAGGAGCCAAGAGGAGGAAAGTGGAGCGCGGAGCGGAGTGAGCGCGGAGACGGCGTAATGGGGGGGGTGCGTGGATGGGGGACATGGGGACTTGTGGATGTGGGGATACAGGGACATGGGGACAAATGGATGTGGGGACATGGGGCACAGAGTGATGTGGGGTGCATGGATGTGGGAGTACAGGGACATGGGGACATGGGACACGTGGACATGGGAACATGGGAACAAATGGATGTGGGGACATGGGGCGCAGAGTGACATGGGATGCATGGATGGGGGGATATGGGGACATGGGACACATGGACGTAGGGACATGGGGACAAATGGATATGGGGACAAATGGATGTGGGGAAATGGGGCACAAGGTGATATGGGGTGCATGGATGTGGGGATACGGGAACATGGGACACACGTACATGGGGACATGGGGATGTGGGATGCATGAATGTGGGATATGGGGACATGGGGCACAGAGTGACATGGGATGCGTGGATGTGGGGATATTGTGACATGGGGATATGGGGTGCATGGACATAGGGACAGGGGGACAAATGGATGTGGGGACATGGGGCACAGAGTGACATGGGGTGCATGGATGTGGGGATACAGGGACATGGGACACACAGATGTGGGGACATGGGGATGTGGGACACATGAATGTGGGATATGGGGACATGGGGACATGGGGCACAGAATGACATGGGATGCGTGGATGTGGGGATATGGGAACATGGGACACACGGACGTGGGGACATGGGGACTAATGGATATGGGGACGAATGGATGTGGGGACATGGGGCACAGAGTGACACGGGGTGCATGGATGTGGGGATACAGGGACATGGGGACATGGGACACGTGGACATGGGAACATGGGGACAAATGGATGCGGGGTCATGGGGCACAGAGTGATGTGGGATGCATGGATGTGGGGATATGAGGACATGGGACACATGGACGTAGGGACATGGGGACAAATGGATATGGGGACAAATGGATGTGGGGAAATGGGGCACAGAGTGATATGGGGTGCATGGATGTGGGGATATGGGGACATGGGAACACAGTGATGTGGGTCACTTGGACATGTGGACACAAGGAATGGTTTGGATTGAAAAGAGACTTTAAAGGTGGGCCATAAAGATGTCCGTATGGACATGGGGCACAGAGACATACAGAAAGGAGGGGCAGGGGGACATGGGCACACAGGGATGCAGTGACAAGGGGCACATGGACATGAGGATATGGGGACACACGGATATGAGAGCTTGGTGACACGTCACACAGACACAGGGACACAACATGAAGACACAGCGACATGGGGACAGCTGGACACGGTAACACAGAGCCACACAGACGTGGGGACAAACGGACACAGCGACACAGACGCACGGTGACACAGCTCCTGGGTGACATGGGGACACCCACCCCACAGCAGCAGCGATGTCCCTTCTTGTGCCCCACCTCAATGCATTCAGGAATGTGACGGCACCATGGTGACAGCGCCGTGGTGACACGGGGACACGGCCATGCTGAGGCTGCTGGTGGCCAGCGCTCACCTCCCGGCAGCCACCGGTGCAGGACCCGGTGTGCACGTTTATGCTCGCTTCAGAGGTACTGCTGGGGACAAGGGGACGTTGAGGTGGCTGTCCCTGCACTTCTGGGTGGCAGCAGCCACCTTCGTGTCGTCGTCACGGGATGGGGTGGCACCGAGCGACCTCATGGGGTGGGATGCTGTTGGATGTCCTCGTGGGATGGTGACGAGTGCCACCCACATCAGTGTCCCCAACCCAACTCCTGTCCCTCCAGGTGTCCCCAGGAGCACCCGGGTGGTGCCAGCAGAGCGCAGCCCAGCATGGAACGAGGTGAGTTGACCCAGAGGTGGCCGACAGCAGCATGGGGGCACGTGGCCACCCTGCCAACCTCTGTCCCCCATCCCACAGATGCTGGTGTGGCCTCTGGCCGCACGTCCCCTGCGCCCCACGGACAGCCTGGCCCTGCGCCTGCAGCTCTGGGGTCAGCCAGAAGCACACAGGTGAGTGTCGCCCTGTGAGCACTGCAGGGTGCCACCCCCACGGTGGCTGCGCTCAACTGTCCCCATCCTTGCAGGCTCCTGGGTGCCACCACGGTGCCTCTGTGCTGCCTGGCGGAGGACCCCGGGCTGCCACTTGATCTCAGTCAGCTCCCATTGCGAGACCCTCAGGGACATCCCACGGGGACCACTGTTTCTTTGCGCTGCTCCTACGTCCCCCCCGGGCAGGTGGCAGCAGGGAATGTCACGTCCCAGCCGCCAGAAGGGGTGGCACCATGCCTGTCCCCCCCACGTCCCACCCCAGTGGTGGGGACAGCCATCGGAATGGCATCGCACCGCCACCCCAAACCTGCAGCGGGGAAGAAGGAGGATTTCCAGGTAGGGCACCCAAGGGTGAGGTGACCCTCAGCGCGTTGTCCCTTGTCACCACATTGCCGTGTCCCATAGGTGCGGGTCAGGGTCCTCCAGGGCCACCAGCTGCAGGGCAGTGCCATCAAGCCGGTGGTGACGGTCCTCATCGGCGAGCATCGCTTCAGGAGCAGGATCCGTGCTGGGAACAACCCCTACTACAATGAGGTGGCCCTGGGGACAAGGACCCGCTGCTGTCCCCTCATCCATCTCCAATGCACTCATGGCTTTGCCCGTTTTTAGGTGTTTTCTCAGCATTTCCACCTGACGCCCGCTCAGCTGGCAGCAGTGCCCATCCACATCCAGGTCGGGGTCGATGGCACCGTGGGGATGGCGACAGCGTGGCAGCCGCTGACTTTGTCCCCAACCCCACAGGTTCTCAACTCCAGGGCCATCCGTGCCGATGCCATCATCGGCGCCTTCAAGGTAAGGATGACAGCGGGGGAAACGGGGTGACAAAGCTCACCTTGGCCCTTTTCTTCCACCGTCTGCTCCCAACAGCTGGACGTCGGCACCGTCTACAACGCACCCGGTAGGTGGCCCTGCATGGTGCTGGGTGCCCACGGGGTCACCGAGCTGCACAGAGGTGACGTGGGTGTCCCCAACCGGAGCAGGGCGCAGGCTGGGTGGGACGTGGCTGAGCCTGCAGCACCCCCGGCACCCCGATGCTGGATGCTGTGGGTACCTCCGTATCGGCGCGGCCGTGCTGCGTGCCGGCGAACCCGTGTCGGTGAGCACCTTTAAGCATCATTGTGTTAATGGATTAATTAACTAAAACATAGCGTGTATCGGTACATACGTATCTTTTTCTTAAAGGAACGGGAGGAGGCAGCGGGGAGCCAGGAGGTGGAAGCCAATCTCTTGCAGTCTGCGTTGCTCACCCCATGCGTGGCCACGCTGCAGCTCCGCATCTACCGTGCTGAGGAGCTGCCCCGGGGTGGGTGAGGGCTGTGAGGGGCGTGGATGCCACCAAACGTCCCCTAACCCTAAAACTGGCCAAACGTTAGTCCTAACCCTAGTGCCAACTCTAACTCTAAGCCTAGCCCTAATCTCACCCTAATATAGCCCTGTAAAGAACCCTAACCTAACCCTGACACAGCCCTAACAGTAACCTAACCCAACCCTAACACTAACCCAACCTTAATTTATCCTTAACTTAACCCTGACCCTAAACTCACCCTAACCCAACCTTAATCTAACCTAACCTAACCTAACCTAACCCTAACCCTGAACTAACCTAATTAAACCCTAACCTAATCCTAACTCATCCCTAACCTTAACCTAACCTGACCCAACCCTAACCCTAACACTAACCCAACCTTAATTTATCCCTAATTTAACCCTGACCCTAAACTCACCCTAACCCAACCCTAATCTAACCTAACCTAACTCTAACCCTAAACTAACCTAAATCAACCCTAACCTAATCCTAACTTATCCCTAACCTTAACGTAACCTAACCCTAACCTAACACAACCCTAACACAACCCTAACCCAATCCTAACCTAGCCCTAACCCTAACACAACCCTAACCCTAACTTAACCTAACCCTAACACAACCCTAACCTAACCCTACCCTAACCCTAACTCAACCTAACGCAATCACTCCTGGCACAGAGGAGCCGTCCCGTCCATTCCTTGCTGGCAGCAAGAGGAGCTTCGTGGCAGCGGCGGTGCGCGCCAGCTTTGCGGGCAGGACGGTGGGTGCTGGGGGCACGGTGGGTGCTGCTGACAGGTGCCCAGGGGTGACAGTGTCCCCAACACAGCTCTGCACTCGAGCGATGCCCCCCGATGCCAAGCCCACGTGGAACGAAGTGCTCTTCTTCCCCCTGCGGGTGAGGCGCCCCCCACCCCAAGTGGGCTCTCCGATAAACCCCTTATTTAAAATCCCCAATTGAATCCTCGATTTCCTCCCCCTCCCCAATTTTGTCCCCCCAGCTGCCCCCGCTCTGTGACGCTGTCGAGCTGGCCATCCTTAGCGGGTAATTGGGGCATCCCTCAATTTGGGGGTCCCCCGGTGTTGCCCCCAGTCCAAGGTCCTTGGACTGTCCCCCTTGCCCTCAGGTCCAAGGTGCTGGGCACAGCCGCGCTCCACCTCTCCCACATCTCCTCCGCCGGTGCTGAGCTCGAAGGTGAGTCTGGTCCCACCTCAGGGGGGAGGGGGGTCCCAGCTTGCAGCCCCTCCCTTCCTGAACCCCATGGTTTGCTTTAGGAGGGGTCCCAGGTTTCTTACCCTGCTTCGGACCCAGCTTCCTCCCCTTCTATGGTCCACGGAGAGATGCTGCTGACGTGCCCAGCGTGAGTGCAAGAGGTGACAGCACGGAGCATCACCTGCATTCAGGGGGGACGCAGCCCCCCAGCACCCCCCCCTCTATGTTACAGGACACCATGGTGGCATACAGGGGCCGGGTGCTGCTGGAGCTCAGCACCCACACAGGGGACTCCGATGGGCGCCAGCAGGACGCCATCGCCCCAGAGGACATCACCCGTGTGCAGGTGGGGACACAGTGACGCGTGGTCACTTCTTATCCCAGGGTAGGGGGGGATTATTTGGGTTTTTTGGGGGCATTTTCTCTTCTTGCAGCGCCTTCTGCCCCGCCGCCACCGCCTGGGGCTCTGCGCAGTGTTCTACTCTGCCACCATGCTGCCCCCCGCATCCGAACCTCTGCGCTTCGAGCTCAGCATCGGCAACCACGGGGACACCGGGGACACCTCGTGCCGCCCCGCTGCCTCCGCCTCACCGCAAGGCCACCCCCTCTTTGATGGTGAGCAAAGCAGGGGACACCCCCTGTCCCCTTGGGGACACCGTGGGGTGCTCATCCCGCTGTGCGCGCAGGGAACCGCTACTACTGCATGCCTTGGCATGACAGCAAGCCGGTGGTGGCCGTCACCTCCAGCTGGGAGGACGCTGGGCAGCGGTGGGACGGGCAGAACCTGATGCACAGTGTGGGCGAGAGGCTGGTGAGCAGCCAGGGGTGGGGGGAGGCGTGGAGGTGGGGACATGGGGATGTGGGGACAAATGGATGTGGGGATATGGGGACGTGGGGACATGGGGCACAGGGGGTGAGGACATGGATATGGGGACATGGGGACATGGGGATGTGGGAATGCAGGGATGTGGGGACAAATGGATGTGGGGATATGGGGACGTGGGGACATGGGGCACAGGGGGTGAGGACGTGGATATGGGGACATGGGGACATGGGGATGTGGGAATGCAGGGATGTGGGGACAAATGGATGTGGGGATATGGGGACGTGGGGACATGGGGCACAGGGGGTGAGGACATGGATGCAGGGACGTGGGGACAAATGGATGTGGGGACATGGGGACATGGGGCACAAGGGATGGAGACATGGGAATGTGGAATGCAGGGACATGGGGACAAATGGATGTGGGGACATGGTGACATGGGGCACAGGGGGGTGGGGACATGGATGTGGGGACACATGGACATGGGGATACATGGGTCTGGGGATGTGGGGACATGGGGCACAAGGGATGGGGACATGTGGATGTGGGGATATGGGGACATGGGGAGACATGGATGTGAGAACATGGGGACAAATGGTCACATGGGGCACAGGGGGTTGGGGACATGTGAATGTGGGGACACGGAGACATGGGGACACATGGGTGTGGGGATATGGGGACATGGGGATGTGGGGCACAAGGGATAGGGACATGTGAATGTGAGCATGCAGGGACATGGGGACAAATGGATGCAGGGATATGGTGGCATGGGACACAAGGGGTGGGGACACGAGGATGTGGGAATACAGGGACATGGGGACAGATGGATGTGGAGATATGGGGACATGGGGTGCAAGGGATGGGGACATGGGGATGTGGGGACATGGGGACATGGGGAGACATGGATGTGAGAACATGGGGACATGAGGACATGGGGCACAAGGGGTGGGGACACAAGGATGTGGGAATGCAGGGACATGGGGACAAATGGATGTGGGGGCATGGGGATGGAAAGCATGGATGTGGGGACACACGGATGTGGGCACGCAGGGACATGGGGACACACGGGATGGGGACACATGGAAGGGTTTGGATTAAAAAGGACCTTAAAGTTGGGCCGTAACGATGCCCAGATGGATGTGGGGATGCAAGTATACATGGACAGGGGAAAGTGGTGACCCCTACAGACGTGGGGACACAGGGATGTAGGGATGGGGGACGTGGGGACACACGGACATGGGGATGGGTGGCAGGGATGAGCAGTGGGTGGGGGCTGGTCAACGGTGAGGTTCCACAGGAGGGAAATGTGGCAATGCTGCGGAACGCGAGGCCGGACGCCCTTGGGGACGTTGGCAGGAAGCTGCTGCGTGAGCTGGCGCAGGACTGCAGGTCAGCAGGCGGAGGGGGGGCTGTGGATGCTTTAATCATTGACCCCAATGCTGGAAGTGGGGTGGGGAAGGGAGCCCAGCACCAGGGAGGATGCAGTGGGGGGTTCCGAGGAAAACATGGGGCACTGGAGGGAAAAACAGTGGGGGTAAATGGGAGATTTCAGGGGGAAACTGGGCGTTTGTGGGGGGTAATGCAGGATTTGGGGTGAAAGTTGGGCACAAATAGGAGAAAATGGGAAATCTGCGGGGGAAATAGAGCATTTATGGGGGAGGAAATGGGGCATTGTTGGGAAAAAAATGGGTGTTTTGGGGGGGAATGGGACGTCGGAGGGAAAAAATGGTTCAGTTAGGGGAAAAATGAGCATTTGAGGGCCAGACGTGGAGCGTTTTGCAGGGAAATTGGGTGTTTTAGGAGGAAAATTGGTGTTTCTGGGGGGGTAATGTGGCATTTGGGGTGAAAATTGGTATAATGGGGAGAAATCAGGTGTTTTTTGGGGGTGGGAGTATTTTAGAGGGGAGTAGGGGGCAATTCTATGGAGATATGGGGCGTCTGGAGGCCAAAGTGAGGTTGTGAGAACTATTGGGGGTCAGGGGGGTGGTTGGGCTGGAGGATCTCGGAGGTCTTTTCCTACCTTGGTGATTCCATGATTCTACGAGATGGGGGCATTGCTGAGGCAGGAGTGGGTTGGGTTGGATGGCAGTTGTGCATTTTTTGGGGGGGAGGGGAGGACGGAGGGCATTTCTGAGGTGGAAATGGATGCTTGAAATCCTGGATGTGGCGCTCAGGGACACGACTGAGTGGAGGGCTGTTGATGAGGGCAGCATGGTTGGGGCATGGTTGGACTCGATCTTTGAGGTCTTTGCTGACTTGAGTGATTCTAGGATTCTATGATTTTTTTTTTTATGAGAATGAGGTGTATCTTGAGAGAAAACGGGATGATCTGGAGGAAAACGAGGCTCTTTTTCAAGGGAAACAGGGCGTTTTGTGGAGGATCTGGGGACCGGGCTGCAATTATGGTGTAATCTGGGAGGAAACAAGGGGCGTTTTGGGGTGAAAATTAAACATTCTGGGGGCAAGCCAGGCAGGTGAGCATCCCCAAATCCTCTCCCCAGGGCTGCCCTGCCTGTGCTGCAGGCCCAGCGCCCCCGGACGCGGCTGGACGTGGAGCTGCGCGCCGCCCGCCTGCAGCTCCTGCAGCTCCTCGCCTCGGCTGCCGCCGCTGGGCCTCCGCGCCGGGCCTGGGCCGAGCTGCTCCCCGAGGCCGAGGCCTGGCTGGGCCGAGTGGCCGCCCTGCAGGCTGAGGTGTGGAGAAAGCCCCGTTTTGAGGGGGTTTTGTGGTTTGGGTTTTTTTGGCTCTTGATGTCACAGAATCACACACACAGAAAAACAGAACGGCCAGGGTTGGAAGGGACCTCGAGGATCGCGGAGCTGCAACCCCCCGCCGCACGCAGGGCCACCAACCTCCACATCCAACAGCAGCCCAGGCTGCCCAGGGCCCCATCCAACCTGGCCTCCAACACCTCCAGGGATGGATGGGGCATCACAGCCTCTCTGGGCAGCTGTTCCAGCACCTCACCACTCTCACAGCACACAACTTCCCTCTGACATCCAACCTCCAGCTGCCCTCCCTCCATTCAAACCGTTTCCCCTCGTCCTGCTGCCAACTCCCCTTGCACAGAGCTGACTCCCCTCCTGCCTGCAGGCTCCCTTCAGGCACTGCAGGCTGCACTGAGGTCACCCCGCAGCCTTCTTTTCTCCATGCTGAACAAGCCCAGCTCCCTCAGCCTGTCTTCGTGGTGGAGGTGCTGCAGCCCCTGCTCATCTCTGCGGCTCCTCTGCACCCTCTCCAGCAGCTCCCTGTCCTTCCTGTCCTGGGGGCTCCAGCCCTGGACGCAGTGCTGCAGATGGGGCCTCGCAGGAGCAGAGCAGAGGGGGACGATCGCCTCCCTGTCCCTGCTGCCCCCCCTCTGCTGACGGAGCCCAGGCTCCCGTTTGTTGCCCAGCTGCAATCATGCACTGCTGGCTCGCGTTCAGCTTTCCATCCCTCAGGACCCCCGGCTCCGTCCCTGCAGGGCTGCTCTCAAGCACTGCTCCTTCCAATCTGTGCACATACCTACGGTTCCTCCAGCCCACGTCCAAAACCTTGCACTGTGTTGTGTTGAACCTCATCAGGTTCACCCAGACCCACCTTCCAAGCCCGCTGAGGTCCCTCTGAACGGCATCCCTTCCTTCCACATGGGTGTCCCCCCTCCATCTTGTCCTGCTCTGTCCCAGCCTCAGGCCGGTGTTCCCGATGTGTTGCTGTGGCTGCGGAGCGGTGCCCGCTGCCTGGCCTGTGCCCGCATCCCCGCACACCGCCTCGCCTGCTCAGCCCTCGGCCCCGCAGCCTGCGGGCGGCTCTGTGGACGGACGCACACCCTGATGCTGGAGGTAAGGCAGCAAGTGGCCCTTGGGCCCCTCATGGCCCCTCAGCGCCTCTTCTACCTCCCCATTTCCCCCAAAATCCAGTCCATTCCCCTCCGTGTCCTCTCCAAGTCTTCTCCATATCCCTTCCACTTTCCTTCTGTGTCCCATCTGTATCCGCCCCATAGCCCCCTCTACAACCTCTCCATATCCCCGCCACGTCCCCTATGTGTTCCATCTATGTCACCTCCATATCCTCCCTGCAGACCCTTCATGTCCCCTCCATGTCCTCTCCCCCTGTATGCCCATTCACCATTCAAACCGTGTCACCTCCATCTCCCCTCTCTGTGCTCTTCTCATTCTCTCCCTTGTCCCCTCCGTCTCACTCCCATGTCAACTCCATACCCCCTCCACTTTCCTCTCCGTGGTTCCTCCATGTCCCATTTATGCCACCTCCATGTCCCCCCTGTGTCCTCTCTAAGCCTTCTCCATATCCCCTCCACTTTCCTTCAGTGTCCTGTGTCCTTCCATAGTTCCCTCTACAACCTCTCCATATCCCTTCCATGTCCCATCCGTGTCCCATCTATGTCACCTCCCCATCCCTTCCAAGTCCCCTCCATGTCCCATCTGTGCCACCTCCATGTCCTTTCCCTTCATGTCCCCACCATCTCCTCTCCCCCTGTATATCCATTCAACATTCAAACCATGTCCCCTCCATGTCCCCTCCCCATGCTCTTCGCATCCTCTCCCAGTCCTCTCCGTATCTCTTCCATGTCCCCTCTGTGTCACCCCCATGTCAACTCCATGTCATCTCCGTGTCCTCTACATGTCCCATTTATGTCACCTCCATGACCCCCCCATACCCAACCCCTCTCTATCTCCAAGTCCTCTCTGTATCCCATCTAATTCACTTCCATGTCCCTTCTGTGCCCCATCTGTGACATCTCCACATCCTCTCCACATTTCCCCCATGTCCTCACATGTCCCATCTATGTCACTTCCCTGTCCTTTCCACGTTCATTCCACGTCCCTTCTATACCTTCACCCCATCCCTTCCATGTCCACTCTGTGTCCCCTCTGTGTCCCCTCCATTTTCCCTCAACATTTCCCCGCCTCACCTCTTCCTCTATACCTTCCCACATCCCCTCTGTATCCCTACCCTCCATGTCCCCTTTGTGCCACACTCATGTCCCCCCACGATGTCCCCAGGTCCCGGGACACCTCCATGCCCAGCTCCGGGTCCGGCTGTGGCTGGGGCGTGTGGCTGAGAGCCAGGAGCTGCCGCGTTACTTGGAGGGCGCCCTGCACATCTATGCTGAGACAGTGAGTGCTGGGCAGGGGACAGCAAGGTGACACTGGGACAAAGTGACATCGTGACATGGTGACGTGGTGACACTGACGTGGTGGTGAGATGATATGGTGACATGGTGACACCATGACGTAGTGACACAGTGATATGATGACATGGTGACGTGGTGACACTGTGACATGGTGACACAATACCAGGGTGACACAATGACATGATGACATGGTGATGTGGTGACACTGTGACACCATGACGTGGTGACACAATACCAGGGTGACACAATGACATGGTGACATGGTGATGTGGTGACTCCACAATGTGGTGATGAGGTGATATGGTGACGTGGTGACACCATGATGTAGTGACACAGTGACATGGTAACGCCATGATGTGGTGATGAGGTGATATGGTGACATGGTGACACCATGAGGTAGTGACACTGTGACGTTATGACATGGTGACATGGTGATGAGGTGACACAGTGATGACATAGTAACGTGGTGACATGATGACGTTGTGACATGATGACGTGGTGATATGGTGATGCAGTGACACAGTGACATGGTGACACTGAGACATAGTGACACCATGACATGGTGACACTGTGACATGGTGGTGAGGTGACATGGTGACCATGACAACACTGTGACGCAGTGACGTGATGACATGATGATGTGGTGACACGGTGACACTGTGACATGATGGCATAGTGACACAGTGACATGGGGACATGATGACATCACGATGTAGTGACATGGTGATCTGGTGACACTGTGATGCTATGACATGGTAACATGGTGATGTGGTGACACTGTGACATGATCATATGGTGACACTGTGATGCTGTGACGTGATGACATGGTGACATAAAGACGTGGTGTCACCACGACATGGCGATATGGTGACACAGTGATGCTGTGCCATGACAACATGATGACATGTTGTAACGTGACATCGTAACATGGTGATGCTGCGACATGGTGACATGGTGACATAGAGACGTGGTGCCACCACGACATGGCGATATGGTGACACAGTGATGCTGTGCCATGACAACATGATGACATCATAACGTGGTGATGCTGTGACATGGTGACGTGGTGACAAGGTAGCATGGTGACATGGTGACACCGTGACGCATTGATATAGTGACACAGCAGTGCTGTGACAAGACAGCATGGTGACATGATGGGGTGATGAGGTGATGAGGTGATGTGGCAATGCCATGGCGCAGTGACACGGTGACATGGTGACATGATAACACGATGGGGTGATGAGGTGACGTGGCGATGCCATGGCGCAGTGACACGGTGACATGGTGACACAGCGGCGCCCCATTCCTACAGTACGAGAACCAGACGAAGATCCTGGGCAAATGGAGCAGGCAGGCGCTCCCAGCTCGCCCCAGCTTCTCCGACGTGGCCGGCAGAGTGGCGCTGCCCCGCGAGCGCATCCGACCCCCCCAGGGCTGGTGCTGGGATGGGCCCTGGGCTGTGGAACCACCACGGAGGTGAGAGCCCAAGGGACACCCCTCCCCGTGCGTGGGGACAGCGAGGTGATGGCAGCTGCTCCTGTCCTCAGGCTGCTGCCAGAGCCCGAGGCTGGCATGGACGAGGTGTTGGAGGAGGTCTATGAGAACCAGAGCCGGCGGCACGGCGGGGAATGGGGACCTGCTGCTGTGCCCAGCACTGATGTGGTGAGAAGGGGTGACACGGGGGCAGTTGAGTGGCACAGATGCCCCAGAGCTCAGCTTCTGTCTGCTGCAGGCCGGCGCAGAGGTGCCCCCCAAGGAGGAGGTGGCGTGTCCCCAGGGCTGGCACGTCACCGATGACTGGCGGGTGGAGGTGACAGGGGCCGTGGATGAGGCTGGTGAGCGATGTCCCCATGTGGGTGTGCTGGGTTGGGGGGGTGGCAGAGGTGATGACAACAACGTGGGTGATGCAGGATGGGAGTATGGGGTGAGCGTGGCGGCCGGAGACCCCTCACCTGCGTGGCACCCCAAAGAGGAGATGTATCACACACAGCGACGGCGGCGATGGCTGCGCACCCGGCGTAGGGACAGCAGTGCCCAGGAACAGGACACCGATGTGGTGGTGGGAATGGGGTGGCACATATGGGGCTGGTGGGGTGGCAAGGAAAAGGGTGATAGGATGGGGGGGACAAGGATGGGGTGGCAGGAACAGGGTGGGAGGTATGAGGATGGAAGGGGATGGGGAGGTGGATGTGAGGGTGGTAGGGAGGGGGTGGCAAAAATGGAGTGGTGAGGTTGGGGGTGACAAGGATGGGATGGCAGGGTGACCAGAGTGGAGTGGCGCAGGTGGGGTGGCAAGGAAGGGGGTGACAGGATGGGGTTGAACAGGATGGGGTGGCTGGAAGGGGGTAGCAGGGGTGGAATGGCAAGGATGGGGGTGGGTGACAAGGATGGGGTGGCAGGGACAGGTGTTTGGCCACCAGCCCCCTGCTCTGTGCATCCTTCTCTCCCCACACCACCACCTTTGTGCCACCCATCCCCACAGCACAGCCCCGAGGCTCCGGATAAAGCATGGGAGTACGCATCCCTGTGGGGCGGCCGCTTCCATCTGCAGCGCCGAGCGGGTGATGCGTGCCGGCGGCGCTGCTGGCGTCGGCACATGGTGCCAGAGCTGCCCTCATCTGTGGCTGCCATCTTCCTCCTCGAGGGCACAGCGGTACGGATGGGGATGGATGGAGGGATGAGAGGGATGGGGGTGAAGGGAGGGACAGAGGGATGGAGGGAGGGATGGAAAGGGATGGAGGGACAGGGGGATGTGGGGATTTGAGGACAGGGGGATGGATGGAGGAATGGATGTAAGGAGGAAGAAACAGGGATAAAGGAATGGGAAGGACAGAGGGATGGAGGGAAGGAGTGACGAGGGGCAGAGGGATGCAGGGATTCAAGGACAGAGGGATGTAAGAACAGAGGGATGGATGCAGGGATGAAGGGACAGAGGGTCGGATGGATGCGAGGGCAGGCAGGGAGGGAGGGAGAGATGGATGCAGAGGTGGGATGGAGGGACGGACAGAAGAATGCTGAGAGGGAGGAACAGAGAGAGGCATGCAGAGGTGTGGGGATGCAGGGACAGTGGGACACAGGCACAGCGGGATGGAGGGACATGAGGACAGTGGGACAAGGGGGCCGGGTTGACTGCCCTAGCCCACATCCCAACTTGTAGGATGCAGAGGAAATGCCAGAGAGCAAGCAGATGGCAGCAACACCCAAAGGCCAGGGACACCCCCAGCACCCCACGCCTGTCATCCTCTGCACCTTCGAGCGTGAGCCACAGGACACTGGGGGAGGATTCTGGGGGTCCAGGGGTCCCCAATGCTAACACTAACCCAGAGCCTCCTGACATCCCTCCGTCCTTCCTCAGGACCCAGCTCCTTCCAGCTGCGCTGTTACCTCTTCCAAGCGCTGGAGCTGAAGCCCCACGGCACCAAGACCACAGCAGGTGGGACCCCCCCCAGCACCCTGACCCCCTCCAGCAGCACCCTTGGGTGCTGACAGTGGGCGCTGCTCCCACAGACCCCGTTGCCCACGTCTCCTTCGTGCACGTCAGCCAGAGCACCCGCGTGCTGCCCGGCACCCTGGACCCGGTTTGGGATCAGTCGCTGCTCTTCCATCGGGTGCAGCTCCATGGGGACCCACGCGGGCTGCGGGATGAGCCCCCAGCTGTGGTGGTGGAGGTGTTTGATCAGGATGGAGGGGTACATTGGGGACACCCAGGGGTGGGGAGCACCTATAGGCAGTGGGCAGCCATGGGTGGGGGCATCCGCGCCCTGTCGCTGCCTCGTAGGGTGCTGGGAGCTTCCTCGGGAGAAGCGTGTGCACCCCAAAAGTGTGGCTGGATGTGGGGCGCCGGAAGCCCCCCAGGCTGCAGAGATACCCACTGCAGGGGCCGGGGGGGCCGGCCGGGGAACTGCTGGCTGCCTTTGAGCTGCTGCACGAGGCTGAGGTGAGAGGTGGGCAGCAGGGGGGGGGGGGGGGGGTCCCAGAGTCTGTCCCCAGCATTCACACCCCTGTCACCCCAATAGGACGGGGCAATGGCACGGCTCAGCACCCCGCCATGGAGACAGGGCACCTTTGGCATCCCCCCAGGCATCCGGCCGGTCCTGCGGCTGATGGCATTGGAGGTGATGCTGGGTGGCAGGGAGGAGAAGGGGGGGGGATGAGGTTTGGGGCAGGGAGGGGACAAGGACATGGATGAGGAAAGGGGTGGGGGCGGGATGAGAAGAGGATGGGGACATGAACAGTAAGATGGGATGGGATGAAATAGGACAAAATGGGAAGGAAGGGGACAGGATTGGGTGGGATGGGATGCGATGGAAAAGGGAGGGATGGGAAGGGGCAAGATATGATGGGATAGGACAAGATGGGGACAGGGAGGCTGGGGACAAGGATGTGGACAGAGACAGGACAGCAGTGAGGACAGGAATGGGAACAGGGACAGTAATGGAGATGGGTTGGGGATTGGGTTGGGCACAAGAATGGGGTAGAGGTGGAGAATGGGATGAAGATGGGAAGGGGACAAGGGTGGGGACGGAGACCGGGAGGCAACAAAGACAGCAATGAAGAAGATGGAAATGGGGATGAAAAGGACAGGGATGCAGGAAAGGATGGAGATGGGTGAGGGACAGGGGTGAACAGATGTGGGCCCTACAGGTGCTGGCATGGGGGCTGCGGGGGCTCCGTGGCCGCTGCCTGCTGCCCGTGCGCGCCCCCAGCCTGGAGGTGCAGTGTGGGGGGCACGTCCTGCGCATCCCCCCCATCACCGACCTCGCCACCAACCCCAATTTCCCCATCAACGCCTTCCTGCTGACGCTGGTGAGCACACGGGGACGGGGAGCAGAGCCCACCCGTGGGTGCTGGCAGCCTGGGGTGACGGCGTGGCTTGGTCCCAGCACCTACCAGTGGAGGAGGAGTACGTGCCCCCGATCCGGCTGCGGGTTTTGGACACGCAGGGCTTTGGGTTCCGGCCCCACGTGGGCCAGGCGTGCGTGCAGGACCTGGCGAGGTTCCGCCATGAGCCCGATGGAGAGGAGCAGCTGCCCCAGCCTTGTGTCCCTGTGTCGGGTTCCAACCCCGGTACAACCCTGTCCCACCCCCCCTCGCCCCTGCCCCATCTCTGCCCATCCATGCCCTCTCCCTGGGACCCTCTACTGCATCCCTGTCCCTTCCCCATCCCTCAGATATCCCTGTTCCATCTCTATCCCTACCACCATCCCGTTCCTATTCCTACCCCATCCCTGTCCGTCCCTTTTCTGTCCCTCTTATCCTCCTACCCCCTCCCTGCCCTGTCCCTGACTCCAGTTCCTCCTTGCCCCATCCCTGTCCCATCCCATCCATCCCTTTCCCATCCCTGCTTCATCCCTTTCTCATCCCTGTCCCATCCATGCCCCCTCCCTGTCCCACCTCGTCCCCCCCGCTGTCCCATCCCCGTCCTTCTGCAGGACGCTCACTTTGTGTCCCCCCCACACACAGCTGCTGCCTGGGGCAGAATTGCTCAGGTGAGCCCCCCCGTGTCCCCTAAACCTGTCCCCATCCCCAACAGCCCAGGCTGTGCCATGGGGTCCCCTTGCCTCCTGTTCCCAAATGTCCCCCCCACTCCCAACAGATGCTGCCCAAGGTGGCCGCTGAGAAGGGGACTGCAGACAAGGTGGGCAAAGGAACTGGGGGCCACCAGGGGCCACCAGAGGCATCCTGCCTCACCCTGCTGCCCACCAGGACACGGAGAGGGAGGAGGAGGATGAGGAAGAAGGCGACTGGTGGAGCAAATTTTACATGGCCATGGGAGACAAGGCAAAGAGCCACCGGAGGACACACAGGGACAGCCTGAAGGTGAGGGGAACAGCGTGACATGGGGCAGGGGATGGGGATGGGGTAGGAAGGACAGAGGTGGGGGTGGGGGTGGGAATAGGGTGGGACTGGGACAGGGCTGGGGTGGTGGTAAGAACAAAGATGGGGATGGGGGCAGGGATGGTTGGTGATAAGGATAGGGGGATAAAGAGGGGAACATGGTCACGGATGGAAACTGGGGGAGAAACAGGATGGGGATGAGGGTTAGGGATGGAAAGTGATGAAGAAGTGGTTGAGATGAGGATGGGGCAGAGGTGAGAACTGCAGTGAATACAGGATGAGGACAAGGACGGGGACAAGGCTGGGGACAGGGGGTGAAGACGAGACGAGGACAAGGACAGGAATGGGACAGGAATGAAGATGATTGGGGACAGGGACAGTGATGGGATGGGAACAGCGATGAGGAAGGGGACTGGAAGAGGAGAAACACCACAGCAGGGATGGGGACAAGGCAGCCCCGCTGTGCCGCAGGTGTACGGCTGTGAGCTGGAGGCGGTGCCCAAATTCGAGGGGCTGCAGGATTTCTGCCAGACCTTCCCCCTCTACCAGCCGGGGGGGCAGCAGGGGGACGACCCCGTGCCTGTGGGCGAGTTCAAGGTGAGACCCCCGTGCCCACAGGGACCCCAGACCCAGGATGAGGGGAACTCGGGGTGCACGGCCATGCTGTCCCCCCTCTCCCAGGGGCTGTTCTGTCTCTACCCCCTACCCGAGGACCCCGGGGTGCCCCCGCCGCCCCGCCGCTTCCAGGAGCTGCCCCCCAGCCAACCCCAGCAGTGCCTGGTGCGCATCTACATCGTCCGTGCCTTCGACCTGTCCCCCCGTGACCGCAATGGGATGGTGAGGCCACCGCCGCGTCCCCCACCCCGTCTGTCACCATCTGTCACCCTGACGGCCCCCTCCCTGCTGCCAGTGTGACCCCTACGTTCGTGTCTCGCTGGGAGCAAAGACACTGGGCAAGCGTGACCACTATGTGCCCAACACCGTGGAGCCAGTTTTTGGCAGGTAGGGCCACCGTGGGTGGCTTGGTGGCACTGCCACTCCTGGCTGGCACAGAGCAGAGGTGCCCAGGAGGGCTGTTGGAGCTCTATGCTGGGGGATCCCCACCCCCCATGCCACCATATCCCTGATTTGCCTTCAGGTCTCTGTGGCAGCAGTTCTCTGTTAGTGTGTCCCCATTCCTCGTGCTGGAGGGTCCCTGCAGCACCACATCCCGCTCCCTCATGTCAGCAGGTCCCCATGCCACCAGCTCCCCATTCCCCATGCAGGTGTGCCCCTATAACCCCGCATCATCATGGCAGCAGCTCCCCATTCCTCGTGACAGCAGGTCCCATAACACCAAGCCCCCACGCTACCAGGATCCCATTCCCCATGTCACCAAGTCCCCATTCTCCACACCAGCAGGTCCCCATGCCATCAAGTCCCCATTCCTCTTGCCAGTAGGTCCCATAACACCAAGTCCCTTTGCCACTGAGTTCCCACTCCCCATGCCACCAAGTCTCCGTGCCACCAGCTCCCCAATCTCCATGATAGCAGGTCCCGTAACACAAAGTCCCCATGGCACCAGGATCCCATTCCCTCTGCCACCAGCTCCCCATTCCTCATGACAATAGGGCTCATAGCCAAGTTCCCATGCCACCGAGACCCTACTCCCCATGGCAGTTGGCCCCCTAAAACCAAGTCCCCATGGCACCACACCGGCTCCTCGTTCCCCAGAATAGTAGCTCCAACAAAAATGAGTCCCTGTGCCACCGAGCTCCCATCCCCCACGCCACCAAGTCCCCATTCCTCATGATAGTAGGTCTCATAACACCAAGTCCCAGTGCCACCAAGGTCCCCATGCCACCAGCTCCCCCTTCCCCATGGCAGTAGGTCCCATAACGCCCATTCCCCACACCACCAGCTCCCTATGCCCCCCTGTCCCCACGCCAGCACATCCCACACCTGTCAGCCCCTGCCCTGGTGCCAGCAGGTCCCCATGCCCACCAGTGCTTGTCCCCACGTGGGCTCACCTCGGGGCTGACCCCACTGCCAGGATGTTCGAGGTGATGGGCACCGTCCCGTTGGAGAAGGACCTGAGGGTCTCACTGCTGGACCACGACCTGCTGCCACCCGACCAGGAGATTGGAAGCACCACCATCGACCTGGAGAACCGGCTGCTGTCCCGATTCCGTGCCCACTGTGGGCTGCCCCGTCTGTACCGCATGTGGGTGACCCCCAGAATGGGGAGGGGGCTCTGGGATTGGGGGTAGGGATGTGGGGAGGGGGTGGGTATGGAGGGATGAGGGCAAGGGAGGTGAGGAGGGCACAGCGGCATGGGGACAAGGAGGATATGAGGGGTACAGGGGTATGGGGACAAGGAGATGGGGACACAGACATGGGGAGGGCACGGAGGCATGGGGACAAGGGGATGGGGGCCATAGGGGGACGGGGGGCAGGGAGGTGGGCACAAAGGTGCAGGGACAAGATGGGGAGGGCACAGGGACATGGGGACACGGAGTTGAAGAGGGCATAGGGATGAAGGAAGGTGGGGAAAAGGAGGTGTGGAGGGCACAGGGGATGAAGTGGGTACATGGGATAGTGACAGGACTGGGAACAGGAAACGGGGACAGAGTGGGCAGGGATTTGGGGACGTTTGGGTGGGATGGGACAGGAGCAGGGATGGAGATTGGTTGGGACCAAGGGGATGGGCAGAGGGAACCGGGAACAGGGAGGTGGGGCAGGGTTGGCATAGGGGGCATGGGGAGCTGGGAAGGGCACAAGGGGATGGGCACAGGGGAGCTGGGGATGGAGTGTGGGACGGGGTTGGCACAGGGTTGGCACAGAGGACATGGGGAGCTGGGAAGGGCACATGGGGACGGCATGGGGAGCTGGGGATGACACAAAGGGGAAGATGAGGGGATTGAGTGGGCACGGGGCTACGGGGTGGGCATGAAGGGATGAACACCACAGCCCTCAGCCCCACACTGCCCACAGGGATGGCCCTGGGCGCTGGCGGGACCAGCTGAGCCCCAGCCGGGCACTGGAGCACCTGGCTCACAGCCGGGGGCTGCAGGCACCCGAATTCAGCGCCGATGGAACCGCCGTCATCTTTGGGGGCTCCACCTTCCTGCTGAGCCATTTTGGTGGGTTGGGGTCTGGGGGGGGGGGGGGGGGGGGGGGGGGGGGTGATGGGGTCCCTCCGATGGTCCGTCCAGAGGGTTTGGCATTGCAGAGAGTGGACCCCCCACATATCGTCACCCCGGGGCGCCCCGGGAGCGCCTGGCCCTGCATGTGCTGCATGCATGGAACCTCGTCCCCGAGCATCTGGAGACCAGGACGCTGTACAACAGCGCCCAGCCTGGGCTGGAGCAGGTGGGGATGGGGTGGTGGGGACAGCGGGGTGCAAAGAAATGTTGGGGGTGATGGGAAAAGAGGAGTGGTGGGGATAGGGGAACCTGGAGAGGTGCTGGGACTGGGGGGTGGTGGGGACAAAGCTGAGGGTGGTGGAAACCTCGGGCATGGAGGGAATGCAGTGGGGCGAGAGGGAGGGATGCTGGTTTGGGGGCAGTGGGGACCCTGGGGTGACAGGGACAGCCCAGCAGGGAGGGATGCTGGTTTGGGGACAATTGGGGCACCATACCATAAAGCGATGCCTGGGGATGATGGGAACAGGGGGTGGTGGGTTGGGGGGGGTCCTAACGCAGTGGGCACAAGGTGGGATGCTGGGGGTGGGCGACGGGGAGCTCACAAGGAGACAAGTGGCAGCACATCCACCCCACGGCACAGGGCAAGGTGCAGATGTGGGTGGACATCTTCCCCGCCAGCCTCGGCCCCCCTGGACCTCCTGTGGACATCACTCCCCGCAAACCCCAGAGGTGAGAGCTCTCCACGGGACAGGGATGTCCCCGGGGGGAGGTGGGGGGGGGTGACACAACCCCCCTCCCCAGCTATGAGCTGCGCTGCGTGGTGTGGAACACCCGTGACGTGGAGCCAGGGGACATCAGCGCAGCAGGGCAGAGGATGAGCGATATCTACGTCACCGGGTGAGCACAGGGCCAGCGCTGCGTCCCAAAGGCCGTGGGGACAAGGTGGGGGGGCCGTGGGGACAGCTGTACCTCCCTCCCCACGGCGTGCAGCTGGCTGGATGGGCTGGAGGAGCAGAAGCAGAGGACGGACGTGCATTACCGGGCGCTGCAGGGCGACGGCAGCTTCCACTGGCGCTTCGTCTTCCCCTTCCAGTACCTGGCAGCCGAGCAGCGCTGCGTGCTGCCCCGCAAGGTGCCGTGCCCCGTGGGGAGAGGGGGGAGAAACGAGGTTTTGGGAGCCGAGCGTGACCCCCTTCTCCTCCCCTCGCACCGTGCAGGAGCATTTCTGGAGCCTGGATGAGACGGTGCTGAAGGTGCCCCCGAAGCTCATCCTCCAAGTGTGGGACAACGACAAGTTTTCAGCCGATGATTTTTTGGGTGAGGGTCCCTCTGCCCACCCGAGGAGGGGCACAGAGGGACACCCAGGGCTGACGCTTCTCACTGCAGGTGTCCTGGAGCTGGAGCTCACCCGGCTGCCCCGTCCAGCCCAGCGGCCGCAGGACTGCACCCTAAAGCCACGTCTGAGCCCCTGGCCCTGGGGGAAGGCTCGGGGACCCCCCCGTTTCTCTCTGTTCCGACAGAAGCTGGCGCGGGGTTGGTGGCCCTGCGTGGTGCACGAGGGTGGCACGCAGCGCATGGCGGTACGGCGGGGAAGGGGAGGGCAGTGGGATTTGGGGGGGGGGGGGGAGGAGGAGAGAGGGCAGGGAAACTCATCCCGCCCCATATCCACCCGCTGCTCCTCCTGTAGGGCAAGCTGGAGCTGAGCCTGGAGCTGCTCGACGAGAAAGAGGCAGAAGAGAGACCGGCGGGGAAAGGCCGGGAGGAGCCCAACGCGTACCCACCGCTGCAGCCCCCCGTGTGAGCCTCGCAGATCCCGAAGGGCACAGAGGGGGAGGCAGGGGTTGGGGTGACGCGGCTCCTCGTCCACCAGGCGCCCCGACTCGTCCTTCCTGTGGCTGCTGGCCCCGCTGCGCGCCCTGCGCTACGCCGTCTGGCGGCGGCACCGCTGCCGCATCACCGCGACCGCGGCTCTGCTGCTGCTGCTCCTTCTGCTCCTCAACTTCATCTACTCTGCCCCGGTGAGGGCAAAGGGCCCCCAAACCCCCTCCTGCTGCTCACGGAGCCCTGCTGAGCCCCCCTCCCCCCGTTCCTCCCCCCTCAGGGTTACTTGGCCATGAAGCTGGTGAACCCGCTGCGCCTCTTCGGTGCTGGAAGCAAACACTGAGCATCCACAGCGTCAGAGGACGGAGCACCGAGGGGGCGCAGCCTCATCCCCTCCTTAATAAAATCAGAACTGAGACGGGCGAGGCAGAGCGGTTCTGCGAGCAGAGCGCCAGGAGGAGCTCAGCACGAGGAGCGCAGCGGTGCCACACACACACCAACATTTATTCCAAGACACGTTACAGCTGGGAAGAGGTGCACAACGTTTCACTCCTGGCTCTCAGGCAAAACAGAGGCAAAACATCACAGAGCAGCCCCCTTCCAGGCCCCACAGCGGCTCTTCGGGCACTTTAACAAGCTTCCATCCACCCCAGTACAAGCATCCTGCCCACAAGGCACTGTTCCCCGCACGCTGGGACCCATCCTGGGTCAAAAACAGCTCCCAGCCCTGCCTGCAGCACCCATGAGCGGAGTGCTGCCACCTGGATGCGCTCAGAGCTCAAGGACGCACCGACCTGCCGTCCCTGTGGGCACCCCGTGCCATCACCCCCCAGATCCACGAGAGCAGCTGCAGGAGCCCAGTGCAGCCCCCGGGGCGACGCTGCTTCTTCCCATGAGAGAAACACAGCGAGGAGTCACTGACAGAAGCAGTCACTGAGGTAGGAATAAACCAGGACTCCCTGGAAGGCAGCGAGGGCTGCGGCTCTGAGAGGCCCCCGTGGTTCAGCTGCTGCTGCTGGGAGCAACGAGCCAGCAAAGCAACGACATGCAGGCGGTGTTGGAGGTGTGTGGAGGCACAGAATGCCAGAGAGGGACAGAGCTGAGCCCCAGGGCAGCAGCAAACAGGGACTGAGAAGGGAGAGTGTGGTATTGAACCCTGCCTGGAGCAGGGAAGCAGTCAGCGTGTCCTCAAAACACCCAGCACCGGGGGTTAATGGATGGAGGGGCTGCACAGAGGTTTGAGGGGCGAAGAAAAAGCAGGAGGGTCTCTAAAGAAGGCCTGAGGTGGGTGATGGGAGCAGCCTGAGCAGGAGAACAGCTTGGCAAAGCCCTCCTGGAAACGAAACGGCTGCAAAGGGGTCGTGGCAGGAACCCAGCGAGGAAAGCAGGGCTGGGACTTCGCAGCCAAAGCGGTGAGCGCCGCGGATGTGCGATGGCAGAGCCAGCCCAGCACTGCCACCGCGCTGCGAGCCACCTCCAGCAGCTCCCAGAGCCCAGCTCCAGCTCCCAGCAGGCCTGCAGGGGACAGCAGCTTCATCCCCAGCACAACGTGGGTCCCCTCTGGCACCGGGGGAGTCCAGGAGCCCAGGGACGAACAGCAGCCGTCCCCACCGTGGTTCCTGGGGACACCGGGGGCGCTGCCACGAGGCAGCCTGTCACACTGCAGCTTCAGTAGAAATGCTTCCGGCTCTGCTCCTGCCACTTGTTGTACACAATGACTCCGATTACGATGGCGAAGACGACGGCCACGAGGGAGAAGAAGACAATTAAGAAGAGAGCCAGGCCGCTCATGGGCTCCAGCGGTGCCTCCACTGCAGGGGAGAGGAACAGCCGTGAGGCCTCGGTTGCTGTGCAGCAGCTCATTGCCATCCTCTTGACAAAAGCAGCACGATTCCTAACAGAGCTCAGCTGCTTCGCTGCTGAGACGCCACAATTCCTGCTCCTCCACCCCCCACTTACTTCCTGGCAGCTTGAGGTTGTCCACCACAGGCAGGTAAACCTCCTTGTCCCGCCGCTCCTCCTCCAGCGTCCGCTCCACCGTCAGCTGGTACAGCTTCAGAGAGATGATGTCGTGGTTGTCTGCGAGCAGAGCAGATGAACCCTGAGGTGTCACCCACCAACACGGCCCCAGCCAGGGATGCCAACGCCACCGGTGGCACCGTGGGACGTCGTCGCTCAGCCAACGGCCCCTGGATGGCAGCTGTCCCCTCCCAGCAGCACTCACCTCCTCAGGGCAGGCTCTGAGCTCTTCCAAAACCTCCAACGGGAACCTTTAAGCTACTTAAACCGACAAACAACAGCCCAGACCGAGCCACGGTCTGACTCAAAAGCATTCACGCTCCCCCATTGCAAAAGCAGAGTGTTAGAATCAGCCTCACATGACCCTATTTCCTCTGCTTGTGACCGGGGTGTTATTAGTGGGACAACGCGAGTGCTCCAGGCCAGCCTGCCAGCTCCCAGGGCATTAGGCAGAGATCTGAGGAAGAAAAGGAACTTCTGTTGGAGCCAACACCGGGCCCAGACACCAGCCAGTGTGCTTTCATAGGGCGTAACTCAAAATCAGGCTTAAAACCTGCCCGGCGAGACAGAGCTGGGTAACTCCGAGCCTCACAGCACCCCAAGCAGCACTGCAAGAGAAGGGGTGAGCAGAGAAAGGCAAAGGGCTTCAGCTCCTGCAAAGCACCGCTTCCATCAGCCCACCCTGCACCCTTCCCCAGCACCACTGCCCTGCAGTTAGGAAATGCAAAGAGCAGACTCCAGCTGCTCTGACAGCACAGCCAGCACCTCTGTTCTCACGGCGTTTTAAGAGCAGTGTTTTAACCCCCAGCAGCAGGACAGCAGTGATCTCAGCGCTGCCCTCAGGCTCTGCCCATCACAGATGAGATTCTCAGCTCTCGCTCTGTTCTGCTCCTCCTGAGGCTCACAGCTTGGGGACCAACCCTCCCAAGCCGCTGCTGTTTGGCAGGAGGTGCTGGCTGAGCTCTGCCCATTCACTGCCAGGACATCACCGCAAGCCTCATCTGATGGCAGATGGAGCTCAAAGCTGCCTATGGAGCTGCACAGCACACCCAGACCGGGATCCAAGCTCCCCAAGATGAAAAACAAAGTTCCCTCAAGCAGGAGGAGATCCTCAGGCGCTCTGGAAGCCCCTCCACGCCTCAGCTGCACCTCCAGACACCCAAAGCTGCACAAGAGCTGCTCAGGGCCCACGCAGCAGTACCTGAGAGGTCTCCGGTGACAGAGGAGGTCCCAAAGTAGTACCCACGGGGCAGGCGCACGCCAGGCACGTCGATGCAGTCCCTCCACTCCTGCTTACCATCAATATCTATCAGCACCTGCAAACAAAGAGGTTCTGGTAGCACCAGGCGCCAGCACGGCTGCCCGAAAGCCCCCCAGCAAGCAGCAACTCACCGTCAGCCTCCTCTTGACGTAGCGGATGACCAGGAAGGTGTCGTGGTTGAGGTTGCGCACCATGGCTGTGCAGCCCCCCAGCTCCGTGGGTCTGCCATCCCTGTCGTGGTCGTAGGTGAGGGAGCCGTTGTTCACCATGGCGGAGATGTAGGGGAAAACACGCTGCAGGGAGAAGGGCCAAACTCAGCTCCCAACTCTGCCCCGGCATCACGGCGCGCCCGAGGGGTCTGGAAATGCTGGATTTTGGGTGGTCCCAGCTGGAAGCAGGAGCTGGGATCACTGTGGGTCCTTTCCCACTCGGGACATTCTGTGATCCTGTGGCTTCCTACTGACCCCAGGTTCCTTCATCCCAGCTACGCTTCCCCAAAAGCTCCATCCCTCGTCATCCCCTCGCCTTGACTACCACACGTGTAGGACAGAAGAGGAAGTTCTCATGCTTGCTCCCTGCTCACACAGGGGTGCCTGCAGCTCCACTGAGGGAATTCCCTTACTGACAGGACAAAGTATCACCAAGCAGCTCGGAAATGGGGATGTCAGCAAGAGCCAGTACCTGATTTCCTGGGCTGTACCTCCTCTTCTGAGCCTGCGAGTCCAGTATCGCAAAGCAAGAAAGAGCACAGAAGCAAAATGGTCACAGACCAGAGTTTAGCAACTCGAAATTGCAACCTGGGAATCCTCTGTGCGCAGCTCAGCGAGGGCAAAAGGCAGAGGGGGGGTTCAGCTGCTGGGGCTCTCAGGCAGGATGCAGCTGGCGGGCTGGAGAAGCACAGCCACAGCCCTGCACATCCACGGGACCAACAGCGCACCGATCCCTGCACGGTGCCAGGAGCACCACAGCCTTCGGTCAGAGCACACCAAGGCATGGCTATGAGCACAAAGTCCACCCAGGGCCAGAGCAGGCTGCTAGCAATGTTTGCTCGTTGTTTATTCAGCAGCTGCAAGGTCAGGGCGCATCGCAGCGGTGCCCCCTGCATCCTCTGGGGGCTGCAGAGAGGAACCAGGGCAGCCCTGGGGGTACAGGGAGAGCACTGAAGGTTGTGGGGGTAAAACAGTGCCTGTTCACCAGGAGAAGCCGCAGTTACCAAAAGGCGAATCGTTTCACAAGTGACAACAAACCAGCACCAGGATGGGGCAGGTCAGGTTTTAACCGCCTCACGACCCCAACCAACACCAAAAGAGCCCCAGACAAAAAGCAGACACAGCAGGCAGAGCGGCAGAGCGCAGGCACGCTGTGCCCCCTCCAAAAGCAGCCCCAGCACGCAGCCAGCTGGGGGGGCTGCTGCTCTGCTCGAGCTCCATGAAGTCCATGTTTGCTTCCCCCCAGCTGCTGCTTGCCTGCAGCCTTCCAAAAGCTCAGCAGCTCACCATGCAGCGGTGGTGACCCATTTGTTTTCTCCTACCCTGCTTTTTCTGGGTGAAGGTGGCAACAAATCTGCTCACAGACTGCCTCACTACAAAGAAACCGACCACGCGGGGAGGAGAAGGAGGCAAGGCAAGCTGAGTAATCCCTGCTGGCAGCCAGCCGGCCTCCAATTTCAGATCCAAAAAGCTCACACCTCCCTGGCTGCAAGTTGAGCTCGGTGCTGAGCTGCCCACAGTGCAGCCAGCAGGGCGCACATCAACCCCAGCTCACCTCCTGCTGCTTCTCCTCGTTGGGGTAGGTGTCCACAAACACCCCCAGGCCCAGGAAGTTATCCTTGCTTCCAAAGACGGGTCCTGGGGGGAAAGGACAGACAGTAAGAAGGACAGAAAAGAGACAGAGGCCCTGCAGTTCCTCCGAGGGATCCAAAGGAGTGCACAGAGCCTCTCAGGCCACTGTGTGCCCCAGAGAGGTGAACCAACAGCCCTCCCTGCAGGCACAGCCTCCCTCCAGCAGGGTTTACCTTGCTGCATGCGGTCCTTGGTGTACCAGATGGCAAAGCCGTCACCGTT